AGAGCACTTGCCTAGCAAGCACAAGACCCTGGGTTTGGTCCTCAGCTCTGGAAAAAAAAAAGAATAAAAAAGAATAGACAAAAAGAAATAATCGGTCACTTAATTCAATCTCTTGGTAAGTCTTTCTTTTGAGATTTGTTTGGCATCTAAATTTTTTATCTAGAGTTTTATTTCAGTTTGGCTTTTCTTCATAAAGTCTTATCTCGTTATTAAATTCTGTTATCTCTTGAATTAGTTTCATTATTTCATTCAGTTGTGTTTCTGTAGTCTTCATTCAGAGATTTATTTATGTCCTCTTTCAGTTCTGCGCTGGCCAGTTTTAAACACAAACGAGGGTCATCTGGGAAGAGTGACTCTCAATTGAGAACATGCCCTCATCTGGTTGGCCTGTGGGCAAGCTTGTGGGGCATTTTCCTGACTGATGATTGATGTGGGAGGGCCCAGCTCACTGTGGGTTGTGCTACCCCAGCTGGTGGTCCTGGGTGCTGTAAGAAAGTTATGAGGAGCAAGCAAGTAAGCAGCACCCCTCCATGGCCTCTGCCTTGGTTCCTGTCCATGTTTCCCTGGATGATGGACTATGAGCTATAAGATGAAATAAATGCTTTCCTCCCTAAGTTGATTGGATGGTAGTGTATTATTGGAGCCTAAGACAAGTTCCTTGAACATATGTATAATTGCTATTTTGAAATCGTTGTCTTGTGCATCAGTGAAATTGCTTTTCTCAGAACTTAATGGTGTGGGAGGTACTAATTTCTGGAGGAAACATACTGTTTTGGTTATTATTCATGTTGTGTTTTTGTGATCTGTAGTCAGGACTGATGGTCCTTCTTGGTGTGATAATCTGGTCTGGCCTTTGTTTGCTTTTACCCCAACTTGTCAGCCATGGACCAGCTGAATGGTGCCTGGGGTTCAGGCTTGGGGCCACTCTGTTGATGTGCTAATGTGGTTTCAGCTCAGCTAGGGCTAAATGCAGCTTCTGAGCTCAGGAGCAAGCCTTCTGTGGGCTTACATGGTTCTTGCTGCCGATCTTCAGCAGTCTGGAGCATTCGCTGGGTTCTCTAGGTGGTCCTTGGTGGTAGAGGCTGGGGTCACACTGGGAATGGGTGGTTGGAGATGAATTTCTAAATGGTCTTATTAAATAAAAAACACGGAGCCAAAGATAGGGTTGAAAGTCTTAGAGAAAGATTAGGGAAATAGGGAAAGCCACAGCTCACCTTACCTCATCAACTCTGAAGTTTCCAAATGCACGTTACTTCCTGTTACTTTATTGCTTTGCTATTCTGCCTTCTCGTTGGCTCTCTTAGCCCAGCTACCTCACTTCCTCTTCCTACACAGCTCTGTCACTTTCTGTCTGTCTGTACAGACCTCCAGGTCTCTATGGTTGGTACTGGGAATTAAAGGTGTGTGACACCACGCTTGGCTCTATTCCCTAGTGTGGCCTTGAACACACAGAGATCCTACCTGCTATGTGACAGGATTAAGGGCATGTGCTGCCGCTGCCTGACTTCTTTGTTTACTTAAATTGGCTTGCTATTTCCTCTGATCTCCAGCAAAGTTTATTTATTAAAGCACAAATAAAATATCACCACAGGTGGTGCTCTGTGGAGGTGGGGCACAGGACATTGCACAGTCCTAAGGTGGAGGTAGGTCGGGTAGACACCAGAATGGTGACTACCAGGGTTGTGGTCACAGGACTCCACATGGTCCTGAGGTAGCATAGTGGGTAGGGTCTTCCTTGTACTTTTGAGATCTTTCTGCTTAATTAATTTACCCATCTAGTGACTGATTTGAGGTGGGTGGGGTTTTTATTATTTAATTTTTAGTTCTTTATATAGTCTAGATATTAACCCCCTGCTAGATATATCACTGGCACAGATTTTCTCCCAGTCTGTATGCTCTCTTCAGTCTCCTAATTGTTTCATTTACTGTGTAGAGGTGTGTGTGTGTATGTGTGTATATACACCTGTGTGTGTAAACCTGTGTGTGAATGCAGGTATGTGTGAATAAACCTGTTTGTGAATGAAAGTGTGTGTATACACCTGTGTGCTAATGCAAGTGTGTGTGTGCACCTATGTGTGAATGCAGGTGTGTGTGTATATACCTGTGTGTGAAAGCAGGTGTGTGTGTATACACCTGTGTTGGAATGCAGGTGTGTGTGTATACACCTGTGTGTGAGTGCAGGTGTATGTTTGTATACACCTGTGTGTGAATACAGGTGTGTGTATATACCTGTATGTGAACACAGGTGTATGTGTATTCACCTGTGTGTGAATGCAGTTGTGTGTGTATGCACCTGTGTGCGAATGTGGGTGTGTGTGTATACACCTGTGTGTGAACTCGGGTGTGTGTGTATACACCTGTGTGCGAATGCAGGTGTATGTATGTTTATGCACCTGTGTGCAAATGCAGGTGTGTGTGTGTGTGTGTGTATACATCTGTGTGTGAACACAGGTGTGTGTATACACCTATGCTGGAATGCAGGTGTGTGTGTATACACCTGTGTGTGAGTGCAGGTATATGTTTGTATACATCTGTGTGTGAACACAGGTATATGTGTATACATCTGCGTGCGAATGCAGGTGTATGTGTATGCACCTATGTGCAAATGCAGGTATGTGTGTGTGTGTATACACCTGTGTGCGAATACATGTATGTGTTTGTGCACCTGTTACACCTGTGTATGAATGCAGGTGTGTGTGTGTACACCTGTGTATGAATGCAGGTGTGTGTGTACACGTGTGTGAACGCAGATGTGTGTGAGAAGCACAATGTGTGGGGATCAGATCACCTCACTTTGAGGCAGGCTTTTGGCCATTTCAGATATTATTTTTCGTCTAAAGGAGTCCAGTTAGGCCTTCCATTCCTCACATTCTCCTCTCCCTGCTGGAATATACAAAGACAGTCACATTAGCTGCTACACCTTTGTCTGCTAGTTCCTTTAACTCTCATTTCTGGATCGGCTTTTAGTGATTTTTTTGAGACAGGGTTTGCTTTTAGTACATTTTAAAAGTGTTTTATAATTCTAGGTTGTGTTTCCTCTGAAAATTTATAAAACAATTCCTAGTTTGTTGCTTCTCAACTCTGAATGCTCCCTGCGTTGCTGGGACATAAGCTTTCTCTCTTGCCGATGCTAATCTTCATCAGTGGAGGGCGCTTGAGGAGAAAGGGTTTCTTCTGGTCCTGTGTGATTTGTTAATGCTTCCTCTGATTCAGACTGGCATGAGGGGTCCAGGGGTTGCCTTAGGCATGTTCCATGTGACTCAGCTGGCTTCCGGCTTCTGGTAAGTTCCATGTTTTGGAAACCCTGATCCTAGTGTGTAAGAACTAATCCACTAAAGGTTGAAGAGGTGGATTCAGGGCTGCACAAAGTCTTATTTATTTTATTGTTTGGAGACAGCATCTAGATTTGGAGCTGTGGTCAGCCCAATACTCACTATGCACCCCGGGCTGGCCTCAAACTTGTGGCAGTCCTCACCCTCTTAGGTGCTGGGATTATAGGTTTGAACCACCATATCCAGCTTGCAAAGTCCAAATTATTGGAGACTTTAGTAAGTAGAAGTGTGCCCTGGGTATTGGAAAGACAAGAGTCCCCCTATCCTAAGGCAGGAAGAGGAGCTTATATGCCAAGCTAGAAAAAGGAGCTGCAGCCAGCTGAAATACTCTTGGCTTTCTGAAAGACTCCTGACATATTCAAAGGTCACTTACACAGTCCAGGGCCAGTTAGACGGATCAGTGGGTAAAGACACTAGCTACAAGTCTAATGACCCCTGGTTCAACGCCTGGGATCCACACGATGAAAGGAGAGAACCACTCCAGTGAACACCTGACACCTGACACCCACATGTACACCAAGGCACACCCATGCCTGTACCCATACATACATTATACACACAATAATAGTAAATACTTTAAATGTTTAAGGGGGTTAGAGAAATGGTTCAGCAGGTAAGAGACCTTACTGCTTCCAGAGGGTCTAGATGTGGTTCCCAGCCCGATGTCCAGCGCTCACAACTGCTGTAATTCCAATTCCAGGGGATCTGGTGCCTTCCTTTGGCCTCTGAAGGCACCTGCCTGCACTGATGTATGTGCCCTCATACAAACACATGCATATGCACTAAATAAATCAATCAAGGTTAAGAAGAAAGAGAAGAAACAACTTGAATGATGGTGGATGACTATCTTAACAATCTTGTTCATCCTATAGGGTAGATTGAAGGGCAGAATCTTATGATAGGCATGATGGAAGTTACCGCCAAGATGGCTAGAGCCATCTCATGTTGGATTCCTGTAAGTAAACCTCACCCCATACCAGGGGGTCTTGTCTTTCCACCTCTGCTATTAGCAGCCTTCTGGCTAATTTTGTTAGCATCTTTGCAGGGAGTTCTCTCAGCCACCAGCCTTGGCCTGCAAGTCAAGGATCTTCACCATCCGATGGGGGGTGATGCCGTCCCCTTTGCCAGATCTGAATCCTTCCCTTGACACCCATCTCCATCCTGAGGTGTTCTGTGGCATTTCTTTTGTTTCTGCCTACTTAATTTTCTGTTCATGTTTAACAGTTCTCTATAGGAAGCCTCTGTTCTTTGACACACTGCATGGTTTCTGTGTTCCTGAGAGGATCCTCGCTAGTGACCCGCACCTTTTATTGGGTGTCAGAATTTTACATTGTTGGTGATGAAGTTTGTTGTATCCTTTAACCTGTGTTGGATTTTGGCTTGGCAGGCAGAGTTCCTTGGTCCTCTGCAGTTTGCTTCTAGGCTTAGGTTAAGTAGTCCAGAGCTGCCTGAGGCTGCAGTTAATTTAGCGTGTTTCTAAGGTGATGCCCCTCTGGGTATTCTACCAATACGTGAGAGTTGGCAAGGTGGCTTGTGGGTACCCAAAGTGTACTTATCCTGTTTTGACTCTGGAGACTATTCGTTCATCTGTTGCTTTACAAAAAAAAACAAAAACAAAAACAACCTCCCTTTTTCTGATGTTTTCCGTACTCTTGTGTGGTTTCACAGGCATGGTTAAGTCCCAACTGTAGCTGAGGGAGTCCTCTGCAACCCTGACCCTGGAGCGCGAACCTGTGACCAGCCTCCTCTCCAACACTTTACCCTGTTAAGTGTAGCCCCTTCAGCTCTCTGAACCCTGTCTTTTGAACTCAAGGGTCCCCCACTCCTCACATTGAAGTCTGGAACCTCCTTCGGAGCTGCTGATGTCGCGGGCACACTCTGCTCATTCTCCCTCCATGGAGCTCTCTGCCCTGGTCTGTTGAAAACTGCTGCATCGTTTATGCCTTTGTGGTCCTGTTATCCAGACTCTCTCCATGCAAACAGAACAAATGAGCCAGTGTGTCAGGATTGTGATAAAAATTAAAAATGGTAGTGCCTATTGGCTCAGATAACTGACCCTACTAATACTCCATTTTCTTCTTTCATAACCAGCCACCATGCACATGGGAGTATCAAGATGTCTATAGAGTGCTGGTGGTCTCCTAGCCAGCTTGTCTTTCCAGTTGGCTGCTGCTGTGTTATTGGTGAGCTGAGGTGCCTCTGTAGATTAATGCCTCCTCCCAGGAGCCCAGGCAAGGAAAGGAGCTGTTCCCACGAGTTCTTGAAGGCAGAGCTACTGCCTTGCCCCTGCAGCTCCACAGACCCAACAAACCTACATGTCTGGCCAACCCTGGCTTTGGGTTGACCAGAAGACAAAAAGCTGGACCTACTCTAGCACCCAGGTGCTCTTGCTGTTCCTGCCTAAGCTGGAGAAGTGCTAACCCCTGATGGGAAGCTGTACTTCCACACAAATCACAAAGTTGAGAGTCCAGAATGCCACCATTGTAAGGTGAGTGGATATGGATGTATGTGAGAGGGCAGGGGAACTGACGCCGTTCCTCAGAGATGTGTGACTCCGTCTGGAGGTGTGCTTCAACTCCAGACCTGTGGCTGGAGCATGGGGCTATATCTGTCTCTATTTAGGCCACCACCTCAGTAATAGTAGGGAGTTGGGGCAGCTTCCTGTTGTAAGCCTTGGGAGATGAATGTCCTGAAGGCCATCATTGTGGTCTTGTGAAATGCTGAATCTCCCACAAGCTCCCCTGGAAAATATGTCTTGTGTGCATGTCCCCAACTCAGAGAAAAGATTGATTAAGAGAAGAGAACGTGACAGCTCACAGGCAAGGGGATGGGAGAAGCACTCTGGGGCCCTGGTGAGTCATCGTCTCCCCATACCTGAGGCAGGACTGCCTGTGCTGGGGCTACATTGCTTATCTGTTGTTGCAAAGAGCAGAGAGTGGCTGGGTGTGATGGCATATGCTTTTAATCTCAACATTTGGGAGGCAGAGGCAGGTGAATCTTTATGAGTTCAAAGCCAGCCTGGTCTACATAGCAAACTCCAGGCCATCCAGGGCTACGTAGGGAAACCTGTCTTTAAAAAACAACAAAACCAAAGGCAAGAGTGGAGAGCAGCAGAGCCAAGACCAGGGCCAGGCTGGGGAAGTCTGAGGCCAACTGCCTCTCCCAGGAAGGAGTGAGTGGAGCTAGACAAAAAGAGGCATGTGCTAATCCGAGGGTCAGTGGCTGGAACTTTGGTGGTTATTATTCAAAGGGGCACTGTTAGCACTGCCATTGGCCTCAGGGTTGCTGGCCAGTACAGGACTCAGGTTTAGGTGTAGGAAGCCTCCCTCTCCAGAGAGCTGGGCACGTAGCTCCTTGACGGGAGCTGTTGCCCTAAGTTCTCTGCCTTTTACCCAGTACACCATGTCAGGTCCTCTGCTTTCTCGAAGCATCTGCATCTGAGCAGTGCCCTGGGGCCTCCTTCACCTCTCGTGTTCTAACCATGCTTTGTAGTTCTGTTGTCACCCCAGGTCACTTGTCACCCACCTGGATTGGAGTTTGGAAACCTAAGAACAGGACTGAGCTGCCTCGTGCCAGGTGCTCATGCTGTAGTCTGTACCAGAGTGCTGTCTTTTCCCACAGGAAAGGTCTTCGACCTCCGTCCACCCACTGGGTTCTCGGTGCTCTGTGCTTCCAGAGTGCACTACCCATGTCCTAGCTCTGTGAGCTTAGATTACCCTCTGTCTTAGTCACTGTCCTATTGCTGTGAAGAGACACCATGGCCAAGACGGCTATTATAAAAGAAAGCATTGAATTGGAGGCTGGCTTACAGTTTCAGAGGTTGAGTCCCTCACCATCATGGTAAAGAGCATGGTGGCATGCAGGCAGACATGGTGCTGAAGAGGAAGCTGAGAGCTACATCCTGATCCACAGACTGAGAGAGAGCCTAGGCCTGGCATGGGCTTTTGAAACCTCAGAGCCCACCCCCAGTGACACACTTCCTCCAGCAAGGCCATGTGTCCTAATCCTTCTAATCCTTTCAAACAATTCTACTCCCTGATGACTAAGCATTCAAATATATGAGTCTGTGGGGGCCATTCTTATTCCAACCAGCACACCCTCTCTGAGGGCGAGACTCGTCAGTCACAAGGATGTGTGTCAGATGCCGTTAGTGGAGAGAGAATAGAAGTAAGACAAGACATGCCATGTGAATCGGATGGTATAAATGTAACATCAGCACCTAAACTACTATTTATGCCTGGGAGGTACAGCTCGGTGTCATGTGCCCATTGGGAACATAAAATCTCTTCCTGCCATGGGCTTAGGCACTGACTTCTGCAGCACTTTCTACATTTCCATTTACATGTTCCCTGAAAGCAGAGGCAGAAAGACAGCAGTAGTGGTGACAGGCAAGGGTTGGGGACGTGGGGGAGGGACTCAGCGGGGTCTGCCTGGGAGTGCCATTGGTCTCACATGCCACACAGTTGAATGTGCTCACTGGTATGCTGGGCTCAGCATGACTAGCCAAGCACGACTGTGCAGCAGCTGTGGGACTCACAAACCAGGTGTTGTTCTGAGGAATTTTCCACTCTGGGGTAATGGCATCTTTCCAGTGAGCAGGCCTGGTGAGCCCATATTGGGTCCTGGGCCAAGGGCAGCTGGCTGAACTGAGGACTACCTGGGGCCTGCTCTGGGAACAAAGCAATGTCATGGCAAAGACATGGCTGCTGCCTTTGTCCCCAGGATGCTATGTGTACGGGACCAATGCACAGTGACCCCGAGGAGTACTCAGTGGCCGTGAGGAAGTGGCCCTGTGGCTGTAGCAGCTACCAAACCCCTGGTAGCTTCTGGCCAGTGCCACCCAAGTGGCAGGTGTTATTTGGGTGCCCCTCTTGCTGTCTGCCGGGCTTCTCTGGAGGATCCCTAGACAAAGGATGCTTTTCAAGGAGCTCTGGAAGGAGCAGACTGGGCAAGCTTGTTGCTCAGCCACCCTGCAGCTTTGTCTGTGTGACTGTCTGAAGGCACCAGAGACTTCCACAGACAGAAGAGCTATGGTCTCGGCCTCAGGAAGCTGGTATTTCCAAGAAGCTGCCTGTGAACAAGACAAACACTGTTGAGCACCTTAAATGACCAGGCAGCACGGGCATGAGAAGAGGAAAGTGGGGCTGTTGGGGAAGGGACTGCAGGGAGAGCAGTTTCTCTAGAGGAGGTCACCTTTAAACCCAAACTGAAAAGACAAGAAAGGACCCAGCTCTCAAGGTTGAATGGAAGGCCCTGAGCTAGTTCCATAGGTCATGGTTAGCATTGGATTTCATAGGAGGGACAATGAGAACCTGACAACAGATTTTAAGGAGAATAATGTGATCAAGGATCTGATTACAACTTTATGAGGTGTTCTGGGAGCCCTGTGGACTGTGTGGTGAGTCCTGATGAGCAGGGAGGCCCTAGAGACATTGGTAATAGTTAGTGTAGTGACTGCACATTTAGGGAGAAGTAGAGAAGCTGCATGCATCTGGAGAAGCTGAGGGGTGCAGGGACCTAGGATGGTTCAGAGGTTTGAAAATCTGGGTGGGTGGGGCCACCATGATTGATGGGCAGGGAAGGCAGGAGTACCACTTAGGGTCCATTATGACTGGAATGTTAGGATGCCCATCAGAGGTTAGGGGTGGTATCCCTAGCCCAGTAGGGTCTGAGATGACATCCCTGACTCCAGAAACCCCAAGAGTAGTTCTGGAGCAGGCAAAAACTACCTCTAACCCAATAGCTCCGAGTCCGGACCTGACAGCAACTGACTAAGAAATTCCCTTCCCCATGGTCCACATCAGTTTACCACTTCCCTGTCATCAAACGCTTACATTCCCACCCTCTGCCCAGAACCCACCTGCTCATGGTTTGCCAGATTCTCCCTCTCTCCAGCCAAGATTCTCCCTCTTCCTATCCAAGATTCTCCCTCTCCCCATCCAAGATTCTCCCAAGATTCTCCCTCTTCCTAGCCAAGATTCTCCCTCTCCACATCCAAGATTCTCCCTCTCCTTCTCCAAGATTCTACTACTCCCTATTCAAGGAGCTCTCTTGAGATGTAAATCTCAGGGTTAAATAATTTTGAGTTTTCATTTCAAGTCTATTTTTGGATGCCACACTATCTGCTTGTATGACTGAATGTTTTTTTTTCTTTTTAAGGAAATAAAAAGGTTTATTTTGAATGAAATATGAGTGGCCACATCCCAGGAATACAGATTCAGGTTCCTTAGGATTTTTTTGTTTGATTTATTTATAAATTTAAAAATTAATCATGGAAAATTTCAATATATCTAGACCATAGACATCAAGGATCTTTCATGCATCTATCACCCAGGCTCAGGGCACACTGTGCCAACCTCATTCTGCACACTGTGGCTCATGGCTGACTATGTAACCCCAGTGCCATTAACCAAACCTGGAAGCCATACAGTGTCTATCATTCACTAGGTCTCCGTTCTTTTAAAATTTATAATTAATTTTGAATACAAGAGGGACTTAAATTTAAAACTACTTGATTGCTTCTTTTGTGTGTGTTGAGGGCACCTACAACCTTGAACATGCTGGGCAAGTAAGTACTCTACCACTGAGCTAAAAAAATTTTTTTAAACGTTTTGAGACAGGGTCTCACTAAGTCACTCAGGCTGGCACTGAACTCATAGTACAGCCCAAGCTGGCCTGGAATTTGATAGCCCTGTGTCAACCTGAACAGCTGGGATTGTATGCCTGTATCTCCAGGTCTGTCACTTGTCTCAAATGGTTCGTTAAATGTTTGTAAGATCAATAGATCACTGTTTTACAGGATCTGAATAAACATCAGCCTTGCAGTTACCAGCTTATCTCCAGTTTCTTTTTACTACGTCCTCTCGTCTCTCTTTGAGGAAATTTATTGGTGATACTGTCCTTAGTGGGTACTATTTCCCCATCTGGTTCAGCTGTGTGTCTTCATGGTGGTGCTAATGACCACTCTGCTCTGTCTCCTCTATTTGCTGTAGGCTGGCATTAGATATAGGCACAAGTGTGTCTGCCATGCATCCTATGGGCTGCATGCATCCCAGGACAGCTATGAATGCAGCTATTTATAGACCATGTTAGTGTTACAGGGTTAGACACTCCTGATAGAGGTCTGTTCAGACTCAAGGTTGTCTGGGCACAAATCATTCCCGCATGCCACTGTGTTCTTTAATAAGGAAGCACAAAATACTGGCTGTCTTCTGTGATGTCAGTGGCCCCTGACCCTCAGCCCTTACTGGGGACTGTAGAACTCAGGTTCAAGGTCTTCTCCCTTCTTGTCTCTTACCTATGGGGAGACTTTGCCCTGTAGATAGTGGTAATCAGCGGCACTCAGGATGGTAGGGTCAGTTGCTGAGTCTTGAATCTTGTTTTGGAGAAATGTTCGTTCCCCACCACTCCCCAGAGGTTGCTGATATTTTCCACCTTACAATGTGTGTGTGCACACAACTTTTGGGAGTCATTTCTTTTCTAAACCTTTATGTGGGTTCCAGAAACTGAACTCTGGTTGTCAGGTTAGTGTGGCAAGCATTTTTACCCACTGGTCCATCTCACCTCCCACTTCTGATCTTATATCAGTACAAACTCATGTATTTAAATACAAGTAAAATGTTTAAAGTATGGCAACAGTTCTTAGGAAGTTATGGAACAAGCTCTTATAAATGAAACAATTGAGAAATGAAGGCGTATTAAGGAAGGTAAGATATATGACCCCCAGTTCAGGCCATGCCTGACTCACTAGGTCAAAGCTTCCCAGGCTTCCTCGGTGCAGACACTTAGTGAAGATTCAGTAATAATACTTTTAGAGGCCCTTAGGTCAAAGGAAATCACTGCCAGATGTATTTTTAATAGTTAGGCAAACGGGAGCAGAATTTATGACCTCACAATTTATAGCAAACATTTGGAAAAGTTAGCAAACATGAATTATTATTATTATTATTAAATTTTTTTGTTCTTGTTTTTTAAGACAGGGTTTCTCTGTGTAGCCCTGCCTGTCCTGGAACTCGCTCTGTAGACCAGGCTGGCCTCGAACTCACAGAGATCCACCTGCCTCTGCCTCCTGAATTCTGGAATTAAAGGCATGCACCACCACCGCCTGGTGATAAACTCTATTTTTAATCATAATTATTCCTGGGATATGTCCATTCGCCAGAAATTTTGCTGCTACCACCCTTGTCTTGGCCTGCATCGATTTTCACAGTGATGCTTTCTCAGTAAGTTCCACAAGGACACTACAGGAAGGAATAAAGTAGTCATCATGGCGGGTCTGAACCGCACTGAGCACTATGTGCAGAATGCTGACGTCACCACTCCCTTCACACATCTGGCCGTGAGCGCACCCACTGGAGTTACTTTGTGCTCCTTCTCTAGCGAGAGTTCTGCAGCACTGGCTGGTGCACTGAGCCCGACCTCGTCTGCCCCACCGGGGTTATTTGTTTTTGGTCATGGTGCTTAAGAGGATTTGTCCCACATCCTTTGACTTGGCTCATACTTCAATAAACCATTGTTATTTGCTGTTTCCCCATTTGGTACCAGTGACAAGAGTAATTTAAAGAGAGAATATTGTAGATTAAGAGCTGACCTTAAAAAAGCTCACCTGATCTGAAAAAGTAGCCAGCTTTCCTCATAGCCACTGGCTGTCAACACATACTTCCTTGTTGATGGGACTGAGAATTCCAGAAGCACTGAGCTGCTTCTACCTTCCATGGTGCCTACTCCTGCATCTCCAAAGTGGGCTCTGGCATGGAAGGAATGTCTTCCTGCTGATGTCAGGCATGGCAGAGACAGCACACAGGTGTAAGAGCATCACATGTCCTGTTTATCTAGTCGTTTCCACTTTCCTCTCTTTTGTCCCTCTAGTCCAGCCCCAGGACAAAGGCATCCCACCTGGCCTCCGGACCTCTATACAAGAGAAAATAACTATTATTGTGCATGTTGAGTTTTGCGGCTACTGACTACACAGCTGTAGTTGACACAGAGGGACACAGGAGAGAAAGGCGAGGCTGTGTAACATCCCAGAGGTTTCCTTCCAAGAGGGGTAAACTGTATTTAATTAGTGTGTGTCCACTGACCCTCAAACCACAGAGCAGGTGAGAAGCCCTTATCCTAAGTGAATGGCCCCGACTCAAACCTAGGTGGACCCAAGCTGAGCTGCTCGGGGAGCCCTGTTGTGGGGGCCACCACATGCAACTGGTGCCCAGGCCCCAGCGGCTGCCTAAAGCCTAAGCTAACCTTTCTGCTGGCTGGAAGGATGGCAGGGGTACCTGGGAGCTTCCAGGAGCAGGGAGTGGGTGACAGTTTAGCCAGGAACCTTAGCTCCCTACCATATGCTGAGAACCAGAGCGGGTGGGGTCCTATGCTGAAAGCCACACATGCCATTCTTGCTAGTCCAAGCCACCTTCCTGTGCACATTGGCGGCCCCTAAGTCTGCTCCCATTCCCGCCATTGGTCTCTCAGATGTGTGAACAAGGTAGAACAATGTGAGCTGTGTTGAGCCACCAGGTGCCACAGCATCCCTGCTGGGTGTGTGGGAACTCGGTGTTGGCTCACTGAAGTCTGTTCCAGCCTCAGGTTGAAAACTGAAGCATGGGCATGCATACTTTTGAAAAGAGTTGAAGAAAAGAGTCGAATGGGGCTGGATCATAGTTGTTCCCCAGCTCTTCATAACCAGCACATGCCTGCCTGCAATCCCAGCACAGATCCCAGAATGTGCAAGGTGGAGGCAGGAGGATCAGAAGATGAAGATCATCTATACGAGACCCTGTTCCAACAAGAGAGGCAGGTGGGTGATTCCATCTGAGACTTGTCCACGTGGAAGACACAGGAGCAGATGTGCATCAGTGCCCCGGACACTGGCCTCCTGGAGGTGTATTTACCTTTGTACCCTCATTGATTCCTTCTAGTTCTACATGCCAGGTGCCCTGGCCAGCTGGCAGATCTGCTATAGTTTGTTGACCTTAGCCTGTTTCAATCCTGTCCTCTACCTTGCTCTGGGAGATTTCCAACTTCCTATAGCTGCCCACTCTGACACCCTACCTCCACTTCTCCCTGGGTATACAAGCTCTTCCTTCCTAAGGAACGTTCTGTCCCTGTAACATGGTAGTGTTGTCCTTGGAGAGCCAACAACCGTTCCCATAGAGCTTCTGATGGAGGGATGAACGATGGCACCCCAAAAGATGTCCACATCTTGACACTTGGCAAAGAGAGCTTCGGGAGCTGGGAGGATGGCTCCAGGGGTGAACTGCTTACTCACCCACAGCATGAGGACCGGGGTCAGATACACAGCACTCGTGTAATTAGTGTGGCAGCATGTGCTGGTACCCCAGCACTAGGAGGCAGGATGGGGGCTCTGGGGGCCTGCTGGCCAGCTGCTCTAGCCAGTTTGGTGAGCTCTAGATCCAGTGAGAAACACTGTCTCAAAAACTAAGGTGGAGAGCAACAGAGGAGGACGTCCTAACCTCTGGCCTCTATATGTGCACAGACTCACAGTTTAAGGGGGAAAAGGACCACAGATTTGATCAAGAGTGGTGAGATGGGACTGCATCCTGATCTTATCTGGAGGAACTCAGATGCAGCTCCACTAATGGAACAGAGGGATACCTGACCCCAAAGAAGCCAACACGGTCATGAAGGTGGAGGCTGGAGTGACAGGAATCTTGCCCTGGAGTGGGGTGCACACAAGGCCTAGGTTTGGGGCCTCTGGCTGCAGTTTTCATGGATTGTGGTATCTTGTTCAGCAGCCCCAGGGGAGGAACACAAATCACAAGGATTGAAAAAATGATGGCAGACCTAGCCCCAAGTTATGCTGCTTGTGATGTAGGCCCTTGGGGCTCCCCTGAGCTTGTTCCCCCAGGAAGAATTTCCACTGCCCGGCCTTGCATTTCCCATCCAGAGCCTCTAGCAGCTTACCAGCTTGGGAGGCGAGGGGTCAGTCCTAAGCCACACAGCAAAGCAGCTGTCTTGAGAATCCATGTACATGTCTGGAAGTTATCCTCTGGCTACAAGGTGACTTTAGGGTCCCCAGACCAGACACATGTAGATAAGCCAGCACACCTACTGCCCATCCCTGGTGATGAAGACAGGGTGGGCAAGGACATTTTATAACCATGCACAAACTATCAGACACTGCTTTAACAGCAGCGAGGAGGATCCATGTCTGGTGAAGTCAGCACGTGCAGCCAGTCCTAGAGCAGACTTGGGGATTCACCCCACTGACAGAGCAGGGCCCCAGTGGGAGGGCCACAGAGGCGGCCCCATTGTTCGGTGCTCCCAGGTGGAGGTTACACACGTGCCCTGGGGAGGCCACAGCTGCCTGAACCTTTAAAACTGGCAGGGCAGGGCAGGGCAGGCTGGCATTGCCGGGCCAGCAACCCACAGTGCCTGCAGCTCTGCAATTGCACTCTGCTTTTTGCTTTTTTCCTTCATACATTTTGTAAAAAGAATTTTCCTTTAAAAGGGAAAGGAGAAATTACTATCAGAATATTCCAGGTTTCGGGCAGAATTCTCATTATTTCTACAGGCATCTCCGTATCAGGCTTGGTCATCCGTGGAAGGAGCTCCCTAGTCCATCAGCCAGTCCTAGAGCAGACTTGGGGATTCACCCCACTGACAGAGCAGGTCTGTTCTGGCTAGTCCCATCTCTGGCGACCACAGCCTCTCAGACTAGCGTTGCTCCCAGGATCAGCTTTCAGGTAAGTTCAAGAGGAGACCCAGGGGCTTCTCTGTGGTACGAGGTGCAGGATTTCCGTCTTCCAGCTGGTGTTCTAGCACAGCATGGGAACGGGATGGCTTTGGAGCTAGTTTGAGAGCTGCCGGCAGGGTCGCTGCTTCTTTGTCCTGACCTCCCACAATCTCACAGGATGCGGTGCACAGTGCCGATGGGGGTATTGTTCACCCTGGTCAGCCTGCTGGAGCTGGCTGTGACTCTGAGAATTGCAGCCTTTAACATCCGGACTTTCGGGGAGACTAAGATGTCCAATGCCACCATCTCTGGCTACATTGTGAAAGTAAGTTCAGGGTGGCCCATGCCTGAGAGCAGACAGACCCCAGGGGAGATGGTAGCTTCCCTAAGGCCCCGGAAGTCAGTGACCCTCAGGCCTTACTAGCACCTGGGTGGATGTCAGGGTTGTCAGATATCTGGCTGTCTGATGCCCGGGGCTGCTGGTGGCAGGACTGTCCACCCAGCCTGTCTTGCTAAGCTCTTGTGGCCCTTCCCCCAGATCCTGAGTCGCTATGACATCGCCGTTGTCCAAGAGGTCAGAGACACCCACCTGGTGGCCACTGGGAAGCTACTGGATGAACTCAATCGGTGGGTGACAGTGCTGGGCCCACCTCCGGGGAGCAGCCAGCCTCCCTCCCTCCCTCCCTCCTTCCTTCCCTTGGTGCTCCATGGATGGAACCTTGCTGCCAGCTGCCAGGAGGTTCCTTCTATGGTCCCAAAGGACTTTGGTTTCCTTTATCCAGGGACAAACCTGACACCTATCGCTATGTGGTCAGTGAGCCTCTGGGCCGGAACAGCTACAAGGAGCAGTACCTTTTCTTGTACAGGTAAAGTCCTACGCTGTCAAAGCCCGAGAATACAAGCACGGGATGTAGATACAACCCCAAATCTGTACTGTAGAGGATGAGGGTGGTCTAGAAAGCCCAGGGTACCCAGGGTACCTAGGAGGCCCTTACAGAGTAGGGGTAGCAATGTATATTACAGGGAAAGAGCACAGGGCCACAGGACAAGGTGAAGGCCAGGTGGGCATCTACTCTGATGCCTCTCACAGCTTGTAACAAGACAAGAAGGCCTTGGCTTAGCCTTGTTGTGTCAATGGTAAGTATACACCTGGCCTCCCCTGTCCCCAGGACTGTACATTTCTAGAAGGCTGGGGCACAGGCTGGGAGGGGCTCCCAGCTCTACAGTCACCTCCTGCCTGGTCTTTCCTCAGGCCTGACCAGGTGTCTGTTCTGGACAGCTATTACTATGATGACGGCTGTGAGCCCTGTGGAAATGACACCTTCAGCCGAGAGCCGGCCATTGTTAAGTTCTTTTCCCCATTCACTGGTGAGTGCTGCTGGGCTCCACTTTCAGCCTGCCCAGGCCAAGCTGGAGTCACAACTTGCAGCCCACAGTCAGACCTCTAGAAGCCTGTGGCAGGGCTGCCCCCGCACTCCCCACTCCCAAGGACAGTGCTTATCCTCTGGGAGACCGTCACACACTGATCACCCCTGCACGGGGCCCCAGCGTAGCCGCAGGCCAACTCCAGTCCAGGCTGGTCTCTGGATACCATGGTCTTGGCATGTCTATCTCCTCAGAGGTCAGAGAGTTTGCGATAGTGCCCTTGCACGCAGCCCCAACAGATGCTGTGACTGAGATTGATGCCCTCTATGATGTTTACCTGGATGTCCGAAAAAAGTGGGACCTGGAGGTGAGCGCATCCTAGGGCCTAGGGTTCTACTGGCCCTGCCTGCCCCTGGACCAACAGGTGTGTTTCCCGGCAGGACGTCATACTGATGGGGGATTTCAATGCTGGCTGCAGCTATGTCAGCTCCTCCCAGTGGTCTTCCATCCGCCTGCGGACAAGCCCTGCCTTCCAGTGGCTGATCCCCGACAGTGCTGACACCACGGTCACATCCACACACTGTGCCTATGACAGGTAAGCAGTCAGGATGTGCTCGTCCAGCCACAGAATCAATGGCCTTCACTCCCTGTCTCCTACTCAAACGAGGCAGAAACTTTGGTTCACAGGGTCCTGACTTTCTTGTCAGAATGGCTGCAGGTGGATGGGGCCATCTGGGTGTCCCTCACATGCTAGCTCCTGCCGGTGCAGGGCCCTCTTAATGCTCACGGATGGATCAAGTTTGGACCCCCGGGCCAGGAAACCATGACCTGTGTGGGACTAGAGGGTGAAGGAGCCTTGTCCTCTGATGTCCTACAGGATCGTGGTTGCTGGAGCTCTCCTCCAGAGGGCCGTGGTTCCCAACTCAGTTGGTCCCTTTGACTTCCAAGCAGCATTCGGACTCACCAAGCAGCTGGTACGTGTCCTTCCTTCATGTGGTTTAAGCTAACCCGAGTTAGTGAGAGCTGACCTGAGTGATTCCCGACAGTGCTCCTGTTTCCCACACGTCATGTGGGTGGAGGTGGTTTAGGTCAGGAGCAGCAAGACTTTCTACCTGCTCACCCTCTCTGGCCCCATGCCCTCCCCGGCATCCCACCTCTCTAGGCTGAAGCCATCAGTGACCACTACCCAGTGGAGATGACCCTCAAGTGAACCTGATGTTATCAAGCATCACAGCCATATGCTTGTGGTGAGGAAGACTCCAACTGTCCAACCAGACATGTATGGTAGTAGTGCAGCGTTCTACTGCCCAGGACAGACAGAACGTCCACCATTTGGACTAAGAAATACTGTTTAATTGAGGTAAATAAAGCTGAGCACGAGCAGTTGGTGGCATTATCTGTGCATCAAGTCCTTCCTCCCCAGGCATCTGTCGCCTGAGATCTGGGTTGCATACTAGGTCCAGTCTCTGGGCTGTCAGTGTTTCTCCAGGGCCTTGACCAGAAGGTCATTCAGGCGGCCTACCATGGGCCGGGGGTCATCAACGAGTCCTGCTGCTATCATGGCGTTCTCATAGATCTGAAATGGAGGGATTGGACAGTAGAATCAGGATCAGGGGTTCAAGTCCAGCCTGACCTATAAGTGACCCCTAGGAAGAGAGCGGCTTCCTACCCCAAGGTAGACAAAGAGAAATGCAGTCCCTCTCACCTGATCCACCAGTAGCTGGGCCAGCTCCGGCTCGCGCTCTCTCAGCTGACTGAGCTTCTTTATTAGTGTGTGCCTGTGTCATGGAAACCAAGAGGGAAGTCAGCTCTAGTTGAGCATCACAAACCCAGAGCTTCTGCTGCTACGTTATGATTATTAGAACATTAAAAACTACAATGGATCTGTTCAGTATGAAGAAATACCCAGATTCTAGAAGTCACCCAGACAACAATCACCGTAAGAGTGTCAGTTATCACCGGGCGGTGGTGGTGCAGCCTTTAATCCCAGCACTCAGGAGGCAGGGGCAGCGGATCTCTGAGTTCGAGGCCAGGACAGCCAAGACTACACAGAGAAACCCTCTCTCATAAAACAAAAACAAACAACAACAAAACTATGGAGCTCTTTAAAGAATTGATTCCACAGAAACCCTAAAACAGCTAAGGCTTATAAATTTGATTATAACAAAATTAAGCTCTTCCTGTTATCAAAAGACACCTTAAGATGGCCAGGCGGTGGTGGCACACGCCTTTAATCCCAGCACTCAGGAGGCAGAGCCAGGAGGATCTCTGTGAGTTTGAGGCCAGCCTGGTCTAGAGAGCGAGATCCAGGACAGGCAACAAAACTACAAAGTGAAACCCTGTCTCGAAAAACCAAAAAAAAAAAAAAAAGATACCTTAAGACAACAGACATTTGAAACTAAAGCCAGGCATAGTGGCACACACCTTTAATGCCAACACAGGAGGCAAAGACAGGTAGAGGTCAGCCTGGTCTACATAGCAAGCTCCAGGACAGCCAAGGCTACATGGTGAGACCATCTCAAACAAACTAACTACAGATGAACACCAAAGAATAGAACTCAGTAGGAGAGAACTCTGGGAAGACAGGTTCTAAGGCAGTCACTAAATGTAAGGTGTTCACCCCATCATAGACCTGGGGTCCCCTCTGTGGGGACAGGCTGAAGCAGCTCACACTGCCTGGACCACTGAGGACTCTACAACCTAGAGGAGCATGTGTTCACAGTGACCCAGTTCCCACAGCTCCAAACTGGAAGTCACACAAATGTCTGTCCTAAGGTGGATCCACACAGTGAATGTTGAGAACAGTACTCTGCCATGAACACCAAGATCCATCCCATGAAGTTAAAAATGGCCACTGCCACAAATGGCTTTAAGGGCAGAGAAGGCAAAAGACAAAAAACAAAACGACAAGAGGCAAAGTGAGAAAACGTCAGGTTTGTGGTTTAACTCAAGTAAACAGAACTCTAGAAGGGAAATGGGAAACAGATTAGATCAGCAATGTTCTGTTTAAACTTCCAGGGAGCACCTTTTAACTTCTGCTTAACTCCAAGGGCCTTCTCTTACAACCATCCTTACATCGCACACACGCTTTTTTAAATGCTCTCCAGACAGAAGATCCTTGGCTCACACAATCTGTAGGAGCCCCTGACAGGTGTGGGCTGGAGGCTGGGCACACCTGGGGTTGATCTCCAGAGTGGGCTGGAGCAGCTGGGCACGTTCCTCCTGGGTCTTGGCGAGCTGCTGCATGCGCAGGAAGTGCCGGGCAGCCCCCATCTCCAGCACGGTCACCATGGCAGGGTGGGTGTCCAGGCGGAAAGTCACCTGCAGGCAAGGCCCAGGATGAGGAAGAACACAGTAGTGAGGGCCCAGGGCTGACAGGGTCTGAAGCAGGGCCAAGTTAACCAGGCCACTGGGCAGAAGGCAGACCGGCCCTATGGTGGCACCTGCTTCTATATCAACTGCTCCAGTAATCTGTCCAGGCTATGATGACAAAGATCACAGCTAGATGTCCAAGGGGTATGGACTGGCTCCGATCCTGCTCCCCAGTGGCTAGAAGACCCTTTTGCGTGGAGAGGCAGAGCCTGAGTTGCTCAGGTGAGGCCTCTTCATGACAGGAGGCACAAACAGGACGCTTGTGTTAGTGAGGGCCTCAGGAGAGTAAGACCAGGAGGAAGCCAAAGCTCAGAAGCACCCTCCTGAGGCCTAGACCCCCTGGGGTCTCGAGACAGTACAGCCTGGCAGGCTTGAGAGTGACAGTGCCAGGCAAGACAAAGCTTTGACGGTGAGATGCTAGTGCCTGGTGGAGTCCTACCCTGGCTCCAGTGCCATCCTGTGGACCCCAACAGGCCAGCATCTGACAGTGAAGGCAGGCTCTGAGAAGACACCAAGCTCCACAGTAACTGCAGGGAGGCGTTACCTTCACGTTGGTGACACGGGACCCCAGTGCATTCCTCATCCAAGCCATTAGCTCTTCTGCTTCCTTCTCGGACAGGCGTTCACCAGCTGTGCCAGAGAAGTGAGTGAGTCTAGGGCCTAACCACGGTCTCACTTTGTGGGGGCCATTTAGCACATTCCTGAGCTATCTCTAGCTCACTCCCCAGGAACTAGAGATAGAGGCTCTTGGAAATGCCTTTCACTGGCACTGAAAACACTTGTGGTCATCCTTGTCTTCTGTAAATTTTTTAGGACTTTAAAAAGAAAAATCTGAGCCCAACCATGGTGGCACAGACCTGTAATTCCAGTACTCAGAGCAATGAGGCAGGAGGATCAGGAGTTCATGGCCAGCCTGGGCTACAAAATGAATGCCTATCTAAAAAAAAAAACAAAAACCAAAAGGGTAGGAGCAATTCCAACTCTCTCCAAAAGTCTAGTCAATTGCAGGACCCTCCATAGGAGGAGCATCATCAACTCCTGGGCCTTGACATTCCCCACTACTTGTTAAGATGGCCCTGGGGAAAGTGACAGTCTCCTGCCCAACGTTCCCATGGGACCATGCCCCAGAGAGAGATGGGAGTCAACCTGGAGATGTGTCCTCAAACTTGTCTTCCTTGTAGTGGTCAACGACGATGTCGGTCTCCACAGAGATCAGCTTCTTCTTGTCAAACTCCCGCAGGTGCAGCAAAGTCAGTTCATCGAACTGCTCGAAGCAGAAGAGCACCTGGGGGCATCCAAGCCGATGAGCGCGCAGACGCACACGTTACACATCTACCTAACGACAGCCACATCCCAGACAGGGCTCTGCCTCACACCACACAGCCTACAGGGCCTCAAACACAGTCAGTCACTTTCTCCACACAGAGTTGGGAGTTCAAGCCCTTCCCTCAGAGCTCAGACCCTCTAAGATACCATCTTTGGCCCGGCAGCAGGCCAGAGCCCACTCACCTCAGTGTGTTTCTGCTTCATGGCCTCGTAGTACGGTGAATGCTCAGCCAGGTGACGGTTAGGGGCACACAGGTAATAGATGTTGCGGGTGCCAGCCTGCATTCGGCTGGCATAGTCTGATAAACTGGTCAGTTGCCCAGCAGGCAGGGCTGAGGACTCGTACCGTAGCAGCCTGGCGATGTCCTCCTACAGACATGTGGATAAATCACCGCTTACCCCAGAGCCGAGACCGAAGCAGCGTCCCCAACTCTGATTCTTGATGACTCCCTGGCCTGTCCCCCAGACACGATGGTGGACTCAGAGTTCAGACAGGCCCATGGGCCCCACTGTCCGTGGAAAAACCTTTTAACCTAGGTGGCTTCCAGAAGAGCTGGGCAAACTGTTTCAGGGTTGCCAGCCTCCATGTGTGGCAGACACTACTCTGGGGCCTAGTATCTTCTCTCTGTCCTCAGTGACAACTGGACCCAGACAAAAATTCCACATTTCCCAGCCTCCTTAGAGCCAGGAGTGTTCATGGTACCAATTCTGGAGTATATAGCAGAGAGAGGGCCTTTAGGGAACAGGCCACAGATATGACCAATGCAGCCCATACCAGCAGTAAGGCAGGGCCGTGAAGCTGCTAGCTTGGATGCTCCCTTATCCAAGCCACTGGCACCTCTGACCGTCCCAGCACAAGAGCCTGGGGAGAGGGTGTGAAGAACAATCGGGGGCCTTGGATGCCAAGTAGACAGAGGCAGACAAAGACAAGGGTTTTCAGGCCTGCCAAGGCAAAGTCAGCCACATCCACATCAGGGCGCATCTGGCTCTTACTGCTCTTACTGTACAAAATCCACCTAGTGGACACATGTACTGAGCACTTAGAACAGGCCCTGGCCCAGCAAATGCTGTGAGCTAACAGTGAGCTCAGGAGTAGAGAAAAGGCTCAATGGTTACAGGAGTTTGCTGCACACGCTTGCTGAGGGCTGGAATTTAGATCCTAGCACTCACACAATTGGGTGTCTCATACACCTACAGCCCCAGCTCCAAGTTGGGGCTTTCTGGCTTCCAAGCAAATTAAGAAAATATAAGTTCCAAGTTTAGGGAGATAGAGTGCCTTAAAAGACATAGATGGGGGTGAGAGAAGACCACCTGACACTCTCTGGCCTTCATGGGTACACCTGACACATGTATGCACACACACAGACGCACACATCAATGAATAAATCTTGAAAACTGAAGTCAACGGGGGTGAATGGTATCACACACTGAGTCATAAGTGCTCCCAAGGGCTCTGGCACACTGACGAGCTCATGGCTAAACAGGCTAACAGGAAGTGGGGACCTTAGGACTGGGGTGTCCTTGTTCACAGCTTGTTAGCTTCCTGTCACCACACGCTCCTGATGCCTCACCAAAGCCC